CCCATACCGCGGGAAACCGTGTCACTCACTCGCTGTCATTTTGCAGAGTGTATGTGCGAGTGTGTTGTGATGCGTTGATTTCAACGCGCGTCTTTACCTTGACGAGCAGGGCCTTCATGCTGGCGCCATCTTCATGAAGCCGCTGATATCCGAACAGAGAGCTGCGAATGAGACACAAACACACACACGCACACACACACAGGGCTCGGGATCAGCTCGCTTCCGAACACACACCCCACACCCCGAATCACCCCGAGCCGCTCGCGGGCTCCGTTAAGCGTTGGTTCAGACCTGTCGACGCGGGCGAGAGCGTCGCTCTCCTGCGCGCTCAGACGCGGTGAGTCCTCCTCGGGTTCACTCGCTTTTCCCGCCGCCATTTTCTTCTCCTCATCACCAGCAGCGCTGAGGCGTCGAGCGGCGACGGCGAGCGACGCGCGGCACGATTTCATGGAATCGCACCGGGAGAATGCGAGTTCCGTTCGTCCAAAAGCCACAATAATCGTAAACTTTTTTCCAGTAAAACGCGCTTCGGTTTCTAAGCCCCCTTACGAAGTGAGTTGCTCGTCTTCTCACATTGTTGTGTAGGAATAAACTGTGTGATGCGGCGGGTCAATGTTTATGCGTGACTTGCGGCCCGTGCACACTTTAAAAACGCGGAACGTATTAAAACAATCTGAAAGTTGTGTCCGCCACCAGATTAAAGTTGTTGTAATTGTGTCACACAGGCGAACCCACGCCGTCGTCGTGACCACGCCCTCTCGGGCTCAACAGCCAATCGGCGAGGAGAACGCCAGCGCGTCACTGGCCTTGTCCCAAAATGTTTTGGTTCTTCAATCCTTTCGGTAATTTTTCATTTCAGTATAGATCGTATGAATGCGCCACTCGAAGCCTCAAGCGTTGCAGGGGATGTTTGGAAAAATTAGAGGATTGACTAAAACATTGGATAGCGAACGGCGAATTTGCGTTGTTATGAAATGCAAATAGAGAGGTGTGGTTTTCATGAAATGGGGAAATTGGAGTGACAGTTGTACAGTTAAGAGTTAAAGCTTAGGCCGCTGTGGCCCAATACTGTTCTTATTTCCTCTAATGTTCACAGAAAATATGGGCGAAAATCTCATAGAAAACAGTTACAGAAGATGAACTGCGTCCGTTACAAACCAACGGTTCCCATCCTGTCGTTTATTTAGTGTTGCTAATTTACTATGAAATGCACTAAAAACAAAAGAATTAAATTAAATTTAGTAGCACAAAATCATCAGTAGCTTGTATTCAGAATAAAACATTTCAGGAAATGCGTGTCTTATGAATATGAAAACGCAGTAATAACCGGACATTGGCTACTGTATAATATTTGAAACATTGACGTGGCTGTAGGCGGCGCGCACGCACAGCTGTCAACATCACCTGACGCCATGACGTCACACCTCACTCAAAATGGCGGAACATCAACAACAACAAACAGAAGGTGAGTGAGTGAGTCTGCTGTCAATAAATGATGATCGAGTGTTTAGTGGCCGTCGTTACTCAGTAAGCTCAACAGAACCATGAAGACGGCGTGTCTCGTATCGAGCACATTATATACCAAAAAAACCCCAAAACTGTAAATATTAGCTCGTTTAATCTATTCTTTCTGTTGGGTTAATCTCATTTAAAAAGTATAAATGTGTTCATGTGTGGTGAAAATTTATATAAACTAACAAAATCTTACTTAAATCAAGACACATGTACTGGAGATGCTAAATCACTTCAGATATAATGTATTGTTTTATGAAAATTTTATCAAAATTAAGTGAGTTTGTGCTTAAAACATGAACAAATATCTCACAATGGAGTTATATAATTAAAATAATGTTTTCCCTTCGAATCAAGTTTTTTTCTGACTCCATTAGCAGATAATTGTTCTTGAGTACAAACTCACTTAATTTTTTTTATTTTTTATTTTTTAACAGTAAACAAGATTTAATATCTTAAACGTCAATTTGCTTCTCCAGTAAATGTGTCTTGATTTAAGAATAGTTTAGATATTTGTGCTGGAAAACAAGACAGAAACACTGAGGAAGGGCATTTTTTAATTATTATTATTTTTTTATTATTTAAGTCAGACATACATACAAACAAACCAACATAGTGCAGTAGTGAGCAATCGTGTAAATCCATAATTCCAGCAGTGGCAAGAGTGATTTAAGTTTTTGATCTAAGTGTGTATGTGAGCGGGTGTGAGTGTGGGTATGTGTATGTGTGTGTATGCGTAAACAAAGTAACTATTTATTATTTATTACCATTGTCATTACCATCACCATCCCACTCCCCACTCCCACCATACTGCCCATATTGTGTTGGTAGATTTTTATTTCCATCCTTCCTCCTATGTAACAATTGCCATTGTCAATCCTGTACAAAATAAAATATGATATAATAAGAATATAATATAAGATAACCTTCCCCCACATCTCATCAGTCCCTATCTTTTCCTATTTTTCCCTTTTTTTGTGTGTGTGTGTGTTATGTGCAATGTCTAAAGTGCATTAATACACAATATAGATTGCATCAAAGCAGCAATTATTGCATTCACAGTATCAATCAAAACATAACAATCTTCGTTTCTTAGTGGAAAAACATCCACGTTTGGTATCGCTGATTAAGGGTATTACTGATTGTTTCATTAATTTGAATATCCCCTACTGAGCAAGCCAAAGGCAACAGTGGCAAGGAACCGGAAAACTCCCTCAAGTGTCCTAATGGAGAAAAAAAAAGATCTTGGCAGAACGCAGGCTTCATGCGACATCTAGTGGTTTATTTCGGTACTGCAGTCCAAACCCTGATAATTGCATTGGCTGTAGAATGACATATATTATTATAATGTTTGAATACTGTAATTACTTATTGTAATGCTATTCATTTGTTTATTTCAGACCACTCACACATACAAGTAAAGATGAGAAGATTCTGAATCCTGTGATGTGTTTTGATTGACACCCTGGGGCGAGCACAATCACCTAATCAGCACATTAGCCAAAACTCTACACCAGTTCATACATCTCGTTCCCATTACACACTCCTCTTCATCACCAGTTCATACATCTCGTTCAGTGTTATGAGCTATACTGGGACCAGCCACTGGGAGGCGATCAAGACTCAGGGTTTTTGAGCTATACTGGGACCAGCCACTGGGGGGCGATCAAGACTCAAGGCCAATTTATACTTCTGCGTTGAGGGTACGCCGTAGTGTACGGCGTTGGCAACGCACGTAGGCGACGCCGTTTTGAGCATTTATACTTCTGCGTTCAGGTCTTGGTTGCTCTGCAGTACTGCTCCGAAACGCTAGTTGGCGGCGGAGAGTTTTAATGTTCCACTGTGTTTAGATTCCTCGCGGCTAGGTTACTACAAGCAATAGCGACTGAAAGAGAGTGGATCATGTTGGAATTGGAGCTTATTGAGGTGGAAAAACAGTTCATTTTAGTGAAATTACTAAAACTGAAAGGCAGAAATGAGAGAAGACGTCGGAGGAGATGAAACGTGTGGAAATCATAGACAGTGGTGGAAATGCGTGAGAAGGTACGTGCGGAAATGCGTAGGAGGAAATGCGATGCTACCAAGCCGACCAATCACCGATCTTGCGGTCCGCGTTGTCGCGACGTGTAGTTACATTTTTGAAGAGGTGCGCGTCAGGCGACGGCGAAGGGTACGCGGTATGGGACGCGTCTGTGCGAATGCTACGCCGTACCTACTGCGCGCACCCTACGCAGAAGTATAAATTGGCCTTTAGGGTTTATGAGCTATACTGGGACCCGCCACTGGGAGGCGATCAAGACTCAGGGTTTATGAGCTATACTGGGACCAGCCACTGGGAGGCGATCAAGACTCAGGGTTTTTGACCTATACTGGGACCAGCCACTGGGGGGCCATCAAGACTCAGGGTTTATGAGCTATACTGGGACCAGCCACTGGGGGGCCATCAAGACTCAGGGTTTATGAGCTATACTGGGACCAGCCACTGGGGGGCGATCAAGACTCAGGGTTTTTGAGCTATACTGGGACCAGCCACTGGGGGGCCATCAAGACTCAGGGTTTTTGAGCTATACTGGGACCAGCCACTGGGGGGCCATCAAGACTCAGGGTTTATGAGCTATACTGGGACCAGCCACTGGGGGGCCATCAAGACTCAGGGTTTATGAGCTATACTGGGACCAGCCACTGGGGGGCGATCAAGACTCAGGGTTTATGAGCTATACTGGGACCAGCCACTGGGAGGCGATCAAGACTCAGGGTTTTTGAGCTATACTGGGACCAGCCACTGGGAGGCGATCAAGACTCAGGGTTTTTGAGCTATACTGGGACCAGCCACTGGGGGCCATCAAGACTCAGGGTTTATGAGCTATACTGGGACCAGCCACTGGGGGGCGATCAAGACTCAGGGTTTATGAGCTATACTGGGACCAGCCACTGGGGGGCGATCAAGACTCAGGGTTTATGAGCTATACTGGGACCAGCCACTGGGGGGCTATCAAGACTCAGGGTTTTTGAGCTATACTGGGACCAGCCACTGGGGGGCGATCAAGACTCAGGGTTTTTGAGCTATACCGGGACCAGCCACTGGGGGGCGATCAAGACTCAGGGTTTATGAGCTATACTGGGACCAGCCACTGGGGGGCGATCAAGACTCAGGGTTTATGAGCTATACTGGGACCAGCCACTGGGGGGCGATCAAGACTCAGGGTTTATGAGCTATACTGGGACCAGCCACTGGAAGGCGATCAAGACTCAGGGTTTTTGAGCTATACTGGGACCAGCCACTGGGGGGCGATCAAGACTCAGGGTTTATGAGCTATACTGGGACCAGCCACTGGGGGGCGATCAAGACTCAGGGTTTATGAGCTATACTGGGACCAGCCACTGGGGGGCCATCAAGACTCAGGGTTTATGAGCTATACTGGGACCAGCCACTGGGGGGCGATCAAGACTCAGGGTTTATGAGCTATACTGGGACCAGCCACTGGGAGGCGATCAAGACTCAGGGTTTATGAGCTATACTGGGACCAGCCACTGGAAGGCGATCAAGACTCAGGGTTTATGAGCTATACTGGGACCAGCCACTGGAAGGCGATCAAGACTCAGGGTTTTTGAGCTATACTGGGACCAGCCACTGGGGGGCGATCAAGACTCGGGGTTTTTGAGCTATACTGGGAGCAGCCACTGGGAGGCGATCAAGACTCAGGGTTTTTGAGCTATACTGGGAGCAGCCACTGGGGGGTGATCAAGACTTAATTTCAACAGGTCTATCATATGATGGAATATCTGGTTTGTTCACATATTGCTTACCTAATTTTCCATTGGTCTTTTTCCAGACGTGTAACTAAGGTCAGAGGTCATCGGAGGCTCAACCAATCCTCAGCTGGAAGAATAAAAATAATATATATGTTCAATCATTTGAAGCTGAATGAGCAGTCCAGTCTTTGATAAATGTTGTCAGTAATTGTAATGCTTGCATTGGCCTGTATCTGTCTTTCTACTTCTATAATCTGACTTAAGTCCCTTTTCTCTTGCGGTCTCTCACCATCAGGGTGTGAACAAGACCAGTTTTGGGCAAGCTACTCAAATTCAGCTGTATAAAACACTCGCTACTCCTCCAAAATGGTTCAGACATAAAAGCCAATTACACAAGTTAATTTGATTGAATACATGATCCATGCATTTATGCTATGCTACTAAATAGTTATTAAATTATTGTATGGTATTAATACTTCAAGGTGGTTCAGAGAACGGTAGGCTACATGTAAAAAAACAAACAAACAAACATGGAACTGATGATGCATGATATGTCCAAAAAACATGTGAACGATGCTGTGCCGTTTAGTGTTTTGGCCATCACATAAAATAAGAGTTTCAATCCTTAGGCTGCGGCTCTCGTTCTGCCATTTCCGATATCCCTGTCTCTCACTGAAGAGTGTGTGTGTGTGTTTCCTTTTTTAGCTAATTCTCTCACCAGTCACTTCACCAGCACATCTACTGTAATGAACAGAACAGTCTCTGACTCTTTGTAATTTGTTTGCATATAATATACGTTTAGCTTAATTTAAAGTGCCGCATTATAACCATGTGTTTTTTCAACTTTAAATGACTTCCAACACTCTAGATTTAGCAAAAAATATTTTCTAAATTGACTGTTAAATTTAGTACAATAACTACATGACAAAATATTTACAGAAAAAAAACCTAATACTGAGCATGTTATTGCATTATCATAAACTAGAAAAAAAAGTTTGATGACAAACTTTAAGTTGGCTTGAGAAAGCCGGACCAGAGCGTTTGAAGTTTTGAAGTTTGAATGAAGTTTTAAAGATAGATTAGAAAGAAAGAAAGAAAGATGGATAGATTAGTTAGAAAGAAATATAGATAGATAGATAGATAGATAGATAGATAGATAGATAGATGTTTTCGGCAAGAATCTAACATGATTAGCATGTAGCTAGCTTGATGCTAATTTGATTAGCATGTAGTTAAGATGATTAGCATGTTGTTAGCATGATTAGCATGTAGCTAGCATCATAATAGCATGATTAGCATGTTGCTAGCATCATGCTAACGTGTTTTTATCAAGAAGCTAGCATGACTAGCATGTAGCTAGCATCATGCTAACCTGATTAGCATGTTGCTAGCATCATGCTAGCATGTTTTAGCAAGAAGCTAGAATGATTAGCATGTAGCTAGCATCATGCTAGCATGATTAGCATGTTGCTAGCATCATGTTAGCATGTTTTTAGCAAGAAGCTAGCATGATTAGCATGTAGCTAGCATCATGCTACCATGATTAGCATGTAGCTAGCATCATAATAACATTATTAGCATGTTGTTAGCATCATGCTAACATGTTTTTAGCAAGAAGCTAACATCATTAGCATGTAGCTAGCATCAAGCTAGCATGATAAGCATGTTTTTAGCAAGAAGCTAGCATGACTAGCATGTAGCTAACATCATAATAGCATGATTAGCATGTTGCTAGCATCATGCTAACATGTTTTAGCAAGAAGCTAGCATGATTAGCATGTAGCTAACATCATAATAGCATGATAAGCATGTTGCTAGCATTATGCTAGCATGTTTTTAGCAAGAAGCTAACATGATTAGCATGTAGCTAGCATCAAGCTAGCATGATTAGCATGTTTTTAGCAAGAAGCTAGCATGACTAGCATGTAGCTAACATCATAATAGCATGATTAGCATGTTGCTAGCATCATGCTAACATGTTTTTAGGAAGAAGCTAGCATGATTAGTATGTAGCTAGCATCATGCTAGCATGATTAGCATGTTGCTAGCAAGAAGCTAGCATGATTAACATGTAGCTAGCATCATGCTAGCATGATTAGCATGTAGCTAGCATCATAATAACATGATTAGCATGTTGCTAGCATCATGCTAGCATGTTTTTAGCAAGAAGCTAGCAGGATTAGCATGTAGCTAGCATCATGCTAGCATGATTAGCATGTAGCTAGCATCATAATAACATGATTAGCATGTTGCTAGCATCATGCTAGCATGTTTTTAGCAAGAAGCTAGCATGATTAGCATGTAGCTAGCATCATGCTAGCATGATTAGCATGTAGCTAGCATCATGCTAGCATGTTTTTAGCAAGAAGCTAGCATGATTAGCATGTAGCTAGCATCATGCTAGCATGATTAACATGTAGCTAGCATCATGCTAGCATGTTTTTAACAAGAAGCTAACATGATTAACAGAAAGCTAGCATGATTAGCATGTTATTAGCATCAAGAAAGAAAGAAAGAACGAAAGAGAAAGAAAGAATTTTTAGAAAGAAAGATGCATAGATTAGTTAGAAAGAAAGATGGATAGATTTGTTAGAAAGAAAGCTGGATAGATTAGTTAGAAAGAAAGATGGATAGATTTGTTAGAAAGAAAGAAAGAAAGAAAGAAAGAAAGAAAGAAAGAAAGAAAGAGAAAGAAAGTATTGTTAGAAAGAAAGATGGATAGATTACTTGGGTAGAAATAAAGAACGATAGATTTGTTAGAAAGAAAGATGGATAGATTAGTTAGAAAGAAAGATGTATAGATTTGTTAGAAAGAAAGATGGATAGAATTGTTAGAAAGAAAGATGGATAGATTAGTTAGGTAGAAAGAAAGAACGATAGATTTGTTAGAAAGAAAGAACGATAGATTATTTAGAAAGAAAGATGGATAGATTAGTTAGAAAGAAAGATGGATAGATTAGTTAGAAAAAAAGATGGATAGATTTGCTAGAAAGAAAGATGGATAGATTTGTTAGAAAGAAAGATGGATAGATTTGTTAGAAAGAAAGATGGATAGATTAGTTAGGTAGAAAGAAAGATGGATAGATTAGGTAGAAAGAAAGATGGATAGATTTGTTAGAAAGAAAGATGGATAGATTAGTTAGAAAGAAAAATGGATAGATTAGTTAGGTAGAAAGAAAGATGGATAGATTATGTAGAAAGAAAGATGGATAGATTTGTTAGAAAGAAAGATGGATAGATTAGTTAGAAAGAAAAATGGATAGATTTGTTAGAAAGAAAGATGGATAGATTAGGTAGAAAGAAAGATGGATAGATTTGTTAGAAAGAAAGATGGATAGATTAGTTAGAAAGAAAAATGGATAGATTAGTTAGGTAGAAAGAAAGATGGATAGATTAGGTAGAAAGAAAGATGGATAGATTTGTTAGAAAGAAAGATGGATAGATTAGGTAGAAAGAAAGATGGATAGATTTGTTAGAAAGAAAGATGGATAGATTAGTTAGAAAGAAAAATGGATAGATTAGTTAGGTAGAAAGAAAGATGGATAGATTAGGTAGAAAGAAAGATGGATAGATTTGTTAGAAAGAAAGATGGATAGATTAGGTAGAAAGAAAGATGGATAGATTTGCTAGAAAGAAAGATGGATAGATTAGTTAGAAAGAAAGATGGATAGATTTGTTAGAAAGAAAGATGGATAGATTTGTTAGAAAGAAAGATGGATAGATTAGGTAGAAAGAAAGATGGATAGATTAGGTAGAAAGAAAGATGGATAGATTAGGTAGAAAGAAAGATGGATAGATTTGCTAGAAAGAAAGATGGATAGATTTGTCAGAAAGAAAGATGGATAGATTAGGTAGAAAGAAAGATGGATAGATTAGGTAGAAAGAAAGATGGATAGATTAGGTAGAAAGAAAGATGGATAGATTTGCTAGAAAGAAAGATGGATAGATTAGTTAGAAAGAAAGATGGATAGATTTGTTAGAAAGAAAGATGGATAGATTTGTTAGAAAGAAAGATGGATAGATTTGTTAGAAAGAAAGATGGATAGATTAGTTAGGTAGAAAGAAAGATGGATAGATTAGGTAGAAAGAAAGATGGATAGATTAGGTAGAAAGAAAGATGGATAGATTTGTTAGAAAGAAAGATGGATAGATTAGGTAGAAAGAAAGATGGATAGATTAGGTAGAAAGAAAGATGGATAGATTTGTTAGAAAGAAAGATGGATAGATTAGGTAGAAAGAAAGATGGATAGATTAGGTAGAAAGAAAGATGGATAGATTTGTTAGAAAGAAAGATGGATAGATTAGGTAGAAAGAAAGATGGATAGATTTGTTAGAAAGAAAGATGGATAGATTTGTTAGAAAGAAAGATGGATAGATTAGTTAGGTAGAAAGAAAGATGGATAGATTAGGTAGAAAGAAAGATGGATAGATTAGGTAGAAAGAAAGATGGATAGATTTGTTAGAAAGAAAGATGGATAGATTTGTTAGAAAGAAAGATGGATAGATTTGTTAGAAAGAAAGATGGATAGATTTGTTAGAAAGAAAGATGGATAGATTTGTTAGAAAGAAAGATGGATAGATTTGTTAGAAAGAAAGATGGATAGATAGATAGATAGATAGATAGATAGATAGATAGATAGATAGATAGATAGATAGATAGATAGATAGATAGATAGATAGATAGATAGATAGATAGATAGATCATTAGTACATATAGAATGGTAGTTTAATTGAGTCTAGGGCTTCAGGGAATTTAGATTTGAGTTTTTGTTGTACGCTATTGGGCCACCGTAGTCTTGGCTCAATTTGACCATGCTGCAATAAAAGTCAATGGGATTTTTATGATTTTTAATATTAATTTTTAAGAAATCTGAAAGTCGAATCAGTCTAAAAAGATATAGCACACTAAGTCAGAACAGTCTGAAGGTCTGACCCGAGTTTGGAGTTTGTAGAGTCAAAGCTCTAGGAGGAGTTAGAGTCAGAAAATTTTGAGTAAGAATAATAATAATAACTAGAAAAAAAAGTTTGATGACACAAACTTTAAGTTGGCTTGAGAAAGCCGGACCAGAGCGTTTGAAGAATTTTAAGTGTTTGAATTAAGTTTTAAAGATGGAATTAAAAAGAAAGAAAGAAAGAAAGAAAGAAAGAAAGAAAGAAAGAAAGAAAG